CCCCCCGTGTCATGGTGCATCTCACAGTCAGAATGCCCATATTTGATTGGCTGAGCTGCATCACGTGATGTGATTCACTACCCATCAGCCTCTGCTGTGAAGTTTCGTTTCACGATAGTCACGTGCTCGCCCACTGACCAATCACAGCACACTCTGTACCTCGCGGCAGAGCTACACATGGACACTGAGCTGCACGTAATGCTGACGTAGCTACAGGCCAGCTAGCAGTTGCTGACACGTCAAAGAATACGCCCAACATGTCAAACTAAAGATCTGATTGGTTGAACACTATGACAATCAACAATATCGTCCCCATTCACTTAAACTGCACATGGATGCACTTGTGAGTCTGCAGGCCTCTGCCTCTGTTCTTACCTAGAGACACAGAGGTGAGATCTGATTGGATGAAAGCTCTACTTAAAACAAGCTGCACTGGAAGCAGAGCAACTGAGGAAGACAGTAGCTGTGCAATGAGAACATAAGACAATGGGAAAATATTTATATAAATTATAATACATGTAGTGTATTTAAGAACAATTATTAAATTATAAAATAAATATAACTTTATGATTCTGTTTAGGCCAGCAGAGAAGGCTTTGAAGGCCCTGACGGCCCACCACTGATATAACATGGACATAACATAGATGGTGAAAATAGTGTATAGCGTGTAAATAGCGGTCAACAAAGAATAAGTCTCCCTCTCTCACCTCCCCTCCTTCCATTCATCCAGCTAACTACTGAACAGCTGCTTTCCCCAACATCACGTGACTCAATTACCAGTAACTGCTCCTACAGTATCTCTTCATGCTTTTATTTCTTCAGACTCGCTGACTTCCTGCGTCAGACCCGAGCCGCCCTCATCTGTCAGAAGCAGTTCCGCATGGTGAGAGACAGACGGGCCTATCTGAGGGTGAGACGGGCTGTCGTCACCATCCAGGCCTTCACCAGAGGGATGTTCACCCGCCGGATCTACCAGGAGGTACAGGTCCTGATGTGGTCCCCGTGTGGCCCCCGTGTGGTCCTCATGTGTTCCTCGTGCGGTCCTCGTGCGGTCCTCGTGCGGTCCTCGTGGGGTCCTGATGCGGTCCTGATGCGGTCCTCATGGGGTCCTCATGGGGTCCTCATGCGGTCCTCATGCGGTCCTCATGGGGTCCTCATGCGCTCCTCATGGGGTCCTCATGCGGTCCTCATGGGGTCCTCATGCGGTCCTCATGGGGTCCTCATGCGGTCCTCATGGGGTCCTCATGTGGTCCTCTGTAACATAATGTCCTTCCTCTCCAGATGTGAACAGAGATCTGTTTGTTTGTTCGCTGACGTGTGAGTTGGGGGCAGAGCGTCTCCACTAGAACCTGGAATGTCTCCGTCTCACAGCGTCTCTCTGAACTCTCCATAGTTCCTGCTGCACCACAAGGCCATGGTGATCCAGAAGACGGTGCGCGGCTGGCTGCAGAGGACGAAGTTCAGGCGTGCGCGTGACGCCGCCGTCACCATCCAGTGCGGCTTCAGACGCGTCCGAGCCAAACGACGGGTTCAGGAGCTGAAGATCGAAGCTCGGTCCGCAGAACGCCTCAAGAAGCTCAACACGGGGATGGAGAACAAGATCGTCCAGCTGCAGAGGAAGATGGACGATCAGGTGATCAGAAGACTCAACCATAATGACGATCATAACAATAATGTTTACAATAATAATAATAACAACAATAATATTAATATTAATAACAACAACAGCAATAATAATTATAATTACAAACATAATTAATAAATGAACAGTAATAACGTGTCTCCTGTCCGTCCCCTTCAGTCCAAAGAGCTCCGGACTCAGAACGAGCAGCTCGTGCAGGTGAACAGCGGTTTGGGCTCGGAGGTGAACAAGCTGCAGAAACAGCTGGAGCAGGTGAAGAGTCGGCCGGTAGGAGGAGCTCAGGTCTCCTCACTGCAGGAGGAGCTGGACAGGCTGAGGGAGGAACTGCAGGAGGCGTCGGCCCAGAGGAAGAGGATGGAGGAGGAGCACGGCAACGAGAAGATGGGGCTCCAACAGGTGAGGACGGGGGACAGGTGGGGACATAAGACTGGTGAGAGCATAAGACTGGTGAGGGCAGATGAGGGCAGAACACAAGTGACAACAGGTGGACAACAAGAGGACAGGTGAGGACAGAAGACTGATGAGAACAGAGGACAGGTGAGGACAGATGAAGACTGATGAGAACAGAGGAAAGGTAAGGACAGGTGAGGGGAGATGAAGACTGAGGACAGGTGAGGACAGAAGACAGGTGTCTCTAACGGTGTTCCAGGAGTGTGATGATCAATCAGAGGACTCTTTTAAGACTTCAGGTGTAAACTAAATGTTAAGGGGAGAACGCTGTTCTTCTTCATTGGTATCGTTGTGTGACGCTGTCTTCTGTCTGTCTGAACCTTTTTACTAACGGAGAGATGAATGTTACCGACATCGTCTTCTTGTGTCTTCACGTGTCTTCTTGTGTCTTCTGGTGTCTTTGTCCTCAGAGGGTGGAGGAGCTGGAGAGAGAGAACTCTCTGCTGAAGAGTGAGAAAGAGGAGATGAACCAGAGGATTCTTCAGCAATCTAAGAGCTCCGGAGGTGAGACCTGAAGACATCACCTGTCTGTCTGTCTCTCTGTCTGTCTCTCTCTCTGTCTCTCTGTCTCTCTGTCTGTCTGTCTGTGTCTCTGTCGGTCTCTCTGTCTGTCTGTCTGTCTGTCTGTGTCTCTGTCGGTCTCTCTGTCTGTCTCTCTGTCTGTCTCTCTGTGTCTCTGTCTGTCTTTCTGTCTGTCTGTCTGT